TCTCTCTCTCTCTCTCTCTCTTAAAAAAAAAAAAATTCAGGCAGAGGAGCTTACTGGTTGTTGACCCTATCAGGGAGCTTGGTGGGAGTCGGGTGTTGGAAGCTCTATACCCCTCCCCCACTCTGCCCTGTGTAGCTTTTCTATTTGGCTGTTCCCGAGTTGTGTCCTTTATAATACACTAATTGTTCTCTCCAAAGATAGCCACAGTGAGAGTGAAGATGCCTTTTGGTGATGGCCAGCCCCTGGGCATTGAGCCATCCTGCTTTTCAGTCTTCCTGAGCTCACATAGGTCATGAAACAAAGACTGGCACCTCAGTGTCCCCTGTCCAGATTCCTGACACACAGAATAAATGAGCATAATAAAACAGTTGCTTTATAAAGCCTCCCCTCCCAAACAAAATTCAGTCAGGTTTCATGACACCAAAATACTCTTGAGAGAAGCTTTGTGATTTTTGTTTCCCTAACAAACAGCATTCCTTTTCCCTCTGTTCATTGGGAGTGATTGACACAGCCTTCCTCCAGGGGTTTCCTGAGGCTTGATTTTTGGTAAAGTGATGTCAGTGTTGGTGATAAACTTTTCTGTGATTCTGCCTTTTGCTTGGTACCAGTCATACAAACTACTGCCATGAATCAGTGTTTAGAAAGTCTATAGGTTTCGTATACATTAAGATTGGCTTCTGACCATAAAACTGATCTTCTATGTTGGTACCAAGTGCTTTCATTTAAGATTTTTGCTTCTTTCTGACCTGTTCTCTCATCCCTCTTTTTCCTCTTCCACCAGTGGCTACTTTATAGAAGAGAGGGCAATGTAGGAGAAAGAAAGTTTAGTGAATGAGGTTACAAACTCGGAAAGAAAGTATCAAGGCTACCACTTCCTCTTAGCACTGATTCTGTGTGTGCCCTGTGTGTAGATGGAGTGGTTTATGCCTGGGGCCACAATGGATACAGCCAGCTGGGGAATGGAACCACCAACCAGGGCATCGCTCCCATCCACGTCTGTACCAATCTCTTGATCAAGCAGGTGGTTGAAGTTGCTTGTGGATCACATCACTCAATGGCTCTGGCAGCTGATGGAGAGGTAAGTGTGCTGTTTTTATTCTTTTTGAAAATTGTGGTAAAATACACATAACATAAAATTTACCATCTTAGTTTCTTTTTTTGGTGGTGCTGGAGATTGAGCCCAGGGCTTTGCCCATGCTAGGCAAGTGCTCTACCACTGAGCTATATCCCCAGCACCCATCTTAACCATTTTTAAGTACAGTTCAGGGACATTAAATCTATTCACATTATTACTGCAGTTGTCACTGCCATCTACACCCAGACTCTTTATCTTATAAAACACACTGTATCTGATAAACATTCACTCTCCATCCTTGCTCTCCAGCTCTTGGCTACTGCATTCTACTTTTTGTTTTTATAACTTGGACAACTCGTGGTGCCTCATAGAAGTGAAATCATACAGTATTGTCATTTTATTGACTCGCTTATTTCATTGAGCATGGTGACTTCGAGTTGACAGAATTTTTAAAGGCTGAATAATATTCCGTTGAATGTATATATCATGTTTTGTTTTTTATGTTCATCTGTTGTTAGATATGTTGTTGGATATATCTGCTTTTCTATTGTGAAATTTTTCTATTTAAAAAAAGAACATATTTGTACGTGGCATAGCTTGTAGCTAAAATGATTGTGGGAACACTCTTCTCCAGCATAACCTGTGTCATATAGTCAGAGGACTTCCCTTTTGGTAGAAGAAATTAATCGTGTGTGTGTGTGTGTGTGGTGCTTTGCACATACACATGGCTATACCAGCGTTCTACCACTGAGCTACAGCCCCATCCCTAGAATTCAGTCTTAAGGGTGAGTGTCATACTGTTTGCCAAGACCACAAATCAGGGGGGCTGGGATTGTGGCTCAGAGGAAGAGTGCTCACCTTGAATGTGTGAGGCATTGGGTTCGATCCTCAGCCCCACATAAAAATAAAATAAAGATATTGTGTCTACTTATAACTAAGAAAAAAATACTTAAAAAGACCACAAATCAGATATGTATAATGGTGTTCTGGACCTTTTTTTTTTTTTTTAATAACCTTGTTCCTTAAGATATGTTTTGTTTTTTGGTGTATTTGTAATGATTCTGGAGAAAATAACTTCCCCAGCCTGTAGTAGGTGTTATACCTCTTATTCATCCCTGGATTCATGCTTGTCTTAAAGTTTCTGTCTTGCTCACTGTACCACACTCTAAGTACTCTTTTTTTTTCCTTTTCCCTTCTCTTGTAGGTATTCGCTTGGGGCTATAACAACTGTGGCCAGGTGGGATCAGGATCTACAACAAACCAACCAACTCCTCGAAAGGTTACCAACTGTTTACATATCAAGAGGGTGGTTGGCATTGCCTGTGGTCAGACCTCTTCCATGGCTGTGCTGGACAATGGTGAGGTGAGCCTTCACTCCCTTCCTGGTCCATCCCCTTTCAGGAATTGTGTTGGGAGCAATGAGCATTGGAGGGAAGAGGGCTTTGTGTTGTCAGCTCCATTGACCTCTAACTGATCATGAGGACTGGCCAGAGGATATTTGCTCCTCAGAGCGATTTGTTTAAATCCCAAAATTTACCTGCAAGTAAAGATTCTGGTATGGTTAAATTTTGTTTATTGCCTAATGCTTATAAGTATTTGTGCTTAAAGAATTTGGTATCAACTTTCTTTCCTAGTGAAAGTCAGCTGTGCTTTCTTTAGTCAGCTGATAGTCTTTGTAGAGCTACTAACTGCTTCTTGAATGTTTGATCATAAAAGGAAGCAACTTGCTAGGGCGGAATTTTTTGTCCTGATTGTTGTTGGCTACTTTAAAAAACGTACCCTTCAGCTACCCTCACCTTTGAGCTGATAGTTATGCCTATGAAATTATTTTTGATTGCAGCTTCTACTTTAACTTGCCACTTACTGATTTCTCAGTGCATGAAAATTATGCAAAAATACTTCTGTAGACACAGATTTTATAGCATCATGCAGTGGGGCCATAGAGTGCTTTAGAATTTACTGAGTTCTTATCTAGTTTATTTAATTTGAGGTGGGCAGGTACCAGGGATTGAACTCGGGGGTACTCAAATACTGAGCCACATTCCCAGCCCTATTTTGTATTTTATTTAGAGACAGGGTCTCACTGAGTGCCTAGCACCTCGCTTTTGCTCAGGCTGGCTCTGAACTTGCAATCTTCTCGCCTCAGCCTCCCGAGCTGCTGGGATTACAGGCATCTCAGATATGTCCTTTGCCACTTTCACCTGGCGTTTTCCTTCTAGTCTTTTGTCACTGACTGAAGTGTGTCCAGCCAGGCCTACCAGCTTGTCTTCTGTCTCTGTCTCTGACACACTTCCATGCCTTCTGCCCGGATTGCTTTTGGCCCTGTTCATCCTTCAGCTCTGCTCAGGTCTCTACTTTCTTAAGTATTCCCCAAACTTTCTAGGGCTAAGCTCTTGCAAGCTCCTCATTATCCTATGGTGCCTCGATTATCTCTGTTTCAGCTCTTACTGTCTACAGAAAATTTGCCTGTTTCTACCTCCCATGTTAAACCATTACCAAAGACTTAGATTCCTAGTACCTTTCACAGTGTCCTGACATACATAAGTGCCTCATAATTGTTAATGATCCTCAGCTTCTTCATCTATAAGACAGGAACCAAATGACTTCTCCAAGCCTTCTCAAACCTAGTAAGTCATGGAGTGAGAACTGATGCCAAATTCTGCCATTCTTCACCCCCAAAATATCTTCTGTTTGGAGATCAGTTACAGGATCACCTAAAGTAGAACATGGGTATTAGAGTACTGATTTATTTAGATGAACTGGATTTAGATGGATCCAAAGCCCCATTCTCTCTTTTTTCTCTCTGCTCTTAGGTGTATGGCTGGGGTTACAATGGCAATGGTCAGCTGGGCTTGGGAAACAATGGTAATCAGCTGAGCCCCGTGAGAGTGGCAGCTTTGCACAGTGTGTGTGTGAATCAGGTACGTCTGGGAGCCTCTTGCCAGCTGGTGTCCGTCCAACTTTTCTGTTCAAGTCTTGGAAAAATATCGGAGGTTTACTCCTTTTCTTTTTTTCCAGGTCGGGGGGAGGTTTGCCCCTTCCCCTGCCTGGAAATTTCCAGTTCTCTCACCTTCCCCAATATTACATCTTCCCTAAATTCCCACGAGGAGGAGGCACATGGTGCTGGCATATCAAGTGACAAACTGGTGGTAAAATCCAGTACTCTAAGGTTTAGGCTTTCCTAATGCTTTTTAATGTTCTAGCAAATGTCAGTCCACACCTGATGGTGAATTGGCATTCTACAGAAGCTGGCTGTAATTTCTGAGATGCTTTCCCTGCCCTTCCTGTTGTCCTCCTAATGGTAACAATTTATGTTTACTTGCAGATTGTCTGCGGCTATGCACATACTCTAGCACTAACAGATGAGGGCTTGCTCTATGCCTGGGGAGCTAACACGTATGGGCAGCTGGGAACTGGCAATAAAAATAACCTGTTAAGCCCAGCACACATCATGGTGGAAAAAGAAAGGTAACTTGGCTGAGCTGTGTCTTGGGACTGTGTGTGTGTGTGTGTGTGTGTGTGTGTGTGTTATGGTCTTGGTACTGTGAGAGGCAGAGCTGTGGTGTTTGGCTTTGTGACTCTTCCATTTTATTAACATTCTCATTTGGAGTAAAATGGTTTTTGAGTTCCAGCCAGAATGAACATGGAGTTGGTATGATTCTCATGCAGCTTTCTGAAATAACCACCTGTGATTAATATGAATGCATCTTGGCATAATTCTGACAGATTTGGTGTTACCCCTTGAGTAGGGAAGTAAAATGGGATCTGTGATTATGTTGAAATTCAAATTGTACAAACTTTCCCTGTTTGCCAACTAAATGCACTTATAAATAAATAAAATCTCTTAAAAAGACATTATCTATTTAAATATTAATTTGAGTTAATGTGTCTTACTGGAATAGATGCTTAGTGAACCAGGTTGTGAGGTCTCATCCACTCATTCCGGAGTGTTGACTTGTGGTTCTGGGACCCTGCCTAGGAAGTGTGCTGTGAAATGCAGGGCGAAGCCTTAGTCCCTTCGGATGGGAATGCTCAGAGTCCATGACCCTTTGCCCAGTGTTTATGAGCCTGATGAGTGTTCTGAGCTCTGGTAGAGGTGGGAGAGAAAGCCATAAGGAAATGGTTTATTGAAGATGATTGTTTTTACTACACTTAAATCCCCCAGAATAGTCAGGATGTTTTTCAGTGTCTACTTTCCTTCCTTTTTCTTCGATTTCTAATCTGCTTTTCTAAGTTTTCCTTAACCGTACATATTATTTATCCTAACTTGGGATTCTAATTTATCTGAAGCCATCAGGAAAGGAGAGACACAGGGCTCTTTTGGTTTTGTTGATGTGATATGGCTGCTAGCATTTCTGGGTCTTAGGCTGTTTTTTGAGGTGTTCCAAGCATAAACTTTAAAATTTTGTGTCGGGTGTGCTAAGGGCTTCTGTGGTAAGGAAGTGACATGTGTTATTCTTAAACTTTTCAGGGTAGTGGAGATTGCAGCCTGTCACTCCTCCCACACATCTGCCGCCAAGACCCAGGGAGGGCACGTGTACATGTGGGGCCAGTGCCGGGGCCAGTCGGTGATCCTGCCTCACCTCACCCACTTCTCCTGCACTGACGATGTGTTTGCGTGCTTTGCCACTCCTGCTGTTTCTTGGCGTCTTCTGTCTGTAGGTAAGAAGGCTCAGGGCTCCTTCCACCAAGGAAGAATGGTACTGTCTACTGACCACATAGCAGTTCCTGCATGTGTGCTAGTTGTGGGCTCTTTTAGGTTCTAGAATGTTTTATTTTGCATTTGCTTTAATGTTTTTCCCCAGTGATACCCACCTTTAAGGATGTCATTAAATATTCCCATAGATTCTTTTTTCCCTCCCTAAGTGCTTCCTTTTAATTGAGATCAAATTTACATAACATAAACTGGACACGGTGGCACATACCTGTAAACCCGGCAGCTCTGGACTGAGGTGAGAGGATGGGGAGTTCAAGGCCATCCTGGGAAATATAACAAGATTGTCTGAAAGAAAGAAAGGAAAAAAAACAAAACAACAACAAAAAAATCTTACATAACATAGAGTTAACCATTTTTTAAAAGTATACAATCCAGTTGAATTTAGTATATTCATAGTGTATATTTATCATTTCCATCAAGTTCTGAAATGTTTTCATCATTCCAAAAGAAAATCTTGCATTCAATAAGCACCACTCTCACCTCACCTCCCCATTGTCATGAGGGCAAGAGCACATTTAGGACAAATTAAGCTGCAGCTCAACTTAATGTGAAATAAACTGAACATTTCCTTTAAATTCATTTTGTCAATGTCTTTAGTGCTCTCTCTCCCCCTCTCCCCCTCTCCCCCTCTCTCCCTCTCTCCCTCTCTCTCTCTCTCTCTCTCTCTCTCTCTCTCTCTCTCTTTCTGTGTGTGTGTGTATGTGTGTGTGTGTGTATCTCGACACATGATTAGAAAAAATTTAGTTTGCTGAATGGAACTGTTTGGCTCTTATCATACACAGGTAGCATGTGTAGCCTAAGTGCAGCTGTATAACATGTCCTGTGATTTCTATACACTGCTCACTGGACCTGTTTATAAAAGGCTTCCTCTGGTTCTTGCATCTTAAGATGGCCTAGACATCCTTTTCAGAACAGTGTTGTGACATTTTCAGTGTTAGGTTTGGAAAAAATGTGGTTGCTGATTATTTCAGTCCTAGATGACTTCTTTCCCTTCCAGCCACTAAGTCAGAAGTGTTTTTTTCCTTCTAGGTTTTGATCTCAGCTGAATGTTAGGAAGAAGGTCAGATGGTGAATTCAGATCTCTGGGGAATAATTCTTCTCTGAAAGGTGCTATACTTGTCACTGGAAACAAAGAAGGGGTAGGATCGTTTCCACCCTGTGACAGATGCAGAGGCAGTAGCACTCACCAGAGTTTCTGTTTAGGATGGTGACGTAGCCATCTCCACCTCTCCAGTCTGCCCATTATAGTCATTTCCTGTCTTTGGTCCTATAGTGATCCAGGCTTAGAATCAGGGAAAGACTGGCTTTTGAGAAAGTTTCCACTGTTTGTCCTCAGCCAGGAGGGGTTGAGGCAGAGCTGTAGGTCAATGTTAGAGGGCTAGGGCAAACCATATTTCCGTCCTCATTTATTAAGTTAAGCCTGGGTTTTAGCTGAGCTCTTTGGTTAAGCCACTGTTCTCAGCCTGTGGGCAGTTGAAACCTTTCTCCAGTGTCCATAGCAGCTTTTTTCAATGCTCGGTGAGGACCTCTGGAGTTTATTTCTGTTGTCTGCCTTCTTTCTTTTTCCTTCCTTTGTGTACATGTGAAGAACATCTTTCATGAGTTCACTCAGGAGCCTTACTTTCCTTCAGGATAGTGCAGTTCTGCTTATATGGCCTCATCACAGCAGTTCTTGTTTTTTTTTTTTTTTGAATACTGATAACTTGAAAAATTATTTTATTTAATTAATTAATTTATTTTATTGGTTGTTCAAAACATTACAAAGCTCTTGACATATCATATTTCATACATTTGATTCAAGTGGGTTATGAACTCCCATTTTTACCCCGTATACAGATTGCAGAATCACATCCGTTACACATCCACATTTTTACATAATGCCATACTAGTGACTGTTGTATTCTGCTACCTTTCCTATCCTCTACTATCCCCTCTCCCCTCCCCTCCCATCTTCTCTCCCTACCCCATCTGCTGTAATTCAATTCTCTCCCTTGTTTTTTTCCCCTTCCCCTTCACATCCTCTTATATGTAATTTTGTATAACAATGAGGGTCTCCTTCCATTTCCATACAATTTCCCTTCTCTCTCCCTTTCCCTCCCACCTCTCGTCCCTGTTTAATGTTAATCTTTTCCTCATGCTCTTCCTCCCTGCTCTGTTCTTAGCAATTCTTGTTGAGTGATGTCGCTTGTAAAACTGCACCCGTGTTACTAAGTGCATCTGCTTAGTTTCTAGGTTGTGAGGATTGCTTATACATTGATTTTTAGGGTTGAGAGGAATGTTTAGATTTTAGATGATTAGGAAAAGCCATGTCTCTGCTTAAGAACCTAACTGCTTAGCATGACCACTTGGTAAATTTTTTTCAGGCCTCCTTGATTTGAATATTGCCACTTCAAAAAAGAGCAGAGATGTTATTAGTCTTTCACTCAAAGAAAATTGACATATTCTTAGTCCTAGAAAAGAACCTCCTCAATTGTGAGGGATTTACTATAGCCTTTTGAACCCTGTAACTGGATCTTTTTTACACTCATTTCTCATGACTAAGCATGTAAGACTGGTATTTGGCTTATCCAAATACTTATTGTTATGGTAGTTTGTAGATGTAGGACACTTATTTTAATATTGTGAAATAGATTTGTCAAATAACTCTCTTGAACAAAAATTGAATTTAGCCACCATGCTGCTGCTGCTGCTGATCTTTTGGAAGTCTTTCAGATCTTAAATCTGTCTCCTGAGCTTTCTATATTATATTAATAGTGTGTTCGTTGCCTTCAGAGCATGAAGACTTTTTAACAGTTGCAGAGTCACTGAAGAAAGAATTTGATAGTCCAGAAACTGCTGATCTCAAGTTTCGAATTGATGGAAAATATATTCATGTCCATAAAGCTGTTTTGAAAATCAGGTATTTTTCAATGAACTTAGAGACATCAATAACTTTGTTTTCTTTTTGCATTTTCATTTATTATTCCACAAAACGGATACTACAAGGAAGCAGTCTTGGCAGTAGAAAGAAATGTCACAGCTGAATATTTTTGCAGATGCTTATCAAATTCATTTATTATCAGAAAGTTTCATGTATGCTCCTACAACTTATAGGAAAAGTGTATTGGGGGAGTGTTAAGTATTTGTCTTTTTTTTTTTTTTTAATTAAGGATCTTGGGCTGGGGATGTATTTCAGTGGGATAGAGTGCTTATATAGCATGCACAAGGCCCTAGGCTTGATCCCTAGTGCCACAAAACAACAACAAAGTCTTGAGTATTTGTTTACATTGGAAAATTTGTTTACATATTACATATTTGCTATTAAAAGTTCATTTTTTCCCAGTTAGAAAACTCCCATAGTTAGGACAAAAGTTAAAGAAAAAGTTCTTTAGATGTAGTAAAGGGCAAGAGTGTATAAATATGAGGGAACTAAGCATTTATTAACATCTGGGCTATTGCTTCTGATGCTACCATTACAGAGAAAAGGTATGTAAAATCAGAACACTAACAGGCTATTTACACATCTTTTTGGAAATTTAGTTAAAAACTTATTTGCAAAGTAATAATTAGGGGAATTAGGGGAATTGAGAAGCTATATACCATTCATTACTAAGGTCAACATAGCTGAACCATAGTATTGGCTGAAAAGATGAACTGGACTTTTGTCTCTGCCAGTGACCCCTGTGTCCTTTCATTGCAGTTTTCTGACCTGTACATTACACCCACTTAGACAACTCTTTCTTTTTAACTTTTCAGATGGAATAATTATGTAATGAGCCATTTTTTTAAGTATTTTGAATGTGTTTTGAAAGTACTGTTTGCCCTTTGTACCATATCACTTTAAATAATGATTTACAAAAAATGAAAGCATGTTATACTGTAAGAAAATCCAGTTTCAAGAAATAAGTTACTGGGGCTGGGGATGTGGCTCAAGCGGTAGCGCGCTCGCCTGGCATGTGTGCGGCCTGGGTTCGATCCTCAGCACCACATACCAACAAAGATGTTATGTCCACCGAAAACTAAAAAATAAATATTAAAAAATTATCTCTCTCTCTCTCTCAAAAAAAAAAAAAAAAAAAAAAGAAATCAGTTACTCATGCAGGTGGATCTGTAAATACAAATCAAAAAGACCTGCTTGGGTTTTCTTGAAATATGTGACTGTGCTAGTGAATGTGTTTTATAGATACATTTATGGCAGGCCTGGGAGGGAAGGAAAGAGAGTGAGCAGGCCACTCAGAGAAACAAATAGAGAGTGATGGTTGCTTGGAGAGAAGTCGGAAAGGAAAAAAAACCAAAACTATCCTGTCAGATAATGGATCAGTAATCAGCTTAATACAAATCAGTTAACATTTAAACTCCTTTTAAGAGTCAATTGATTACATAAAATTAAAAATTAATCATTTCAATGATGTTAATATGTAGCCAAAAGTTTTGAACTCTCATTTCTGAGTTATTTATTTATTTATTTTCATTATTTAAAATGCACTTCTGTATACTCTGTTTTTTAAAAATAGCCAATGAGCCAAAAAACTTGATCAGAAAGGGGTTGTTAGGTTGAAACAGTAGTGCTCTTCTACCAGTTTGTCTGACTTCATCACCTTCCTCAGGTAATTTTTGCTAATGTGTTTTAGGTGTGAGCACTTTCGATCCATGTTCCACTCATACTGGAATGAGGACATGAAGGAGGTGATAGAAATAGACCAGTTTTCTTACCCCGTGTATCGTGCCTTTCTCCAGTACCTCTACACAGACACAGTGGATCTGCCGCCCGAAGACGCCATAGGTACCTCAGCCCATGTGGTTAGGAACATGTCTCTTCATGCCTTAGCCTAGTGAAATATAAAAAGTTCCAGGTGTATGGGCTTTTATATCGTTATTAAAAGAAGTTTGAAGTAAATGTTTTTAAAAACAGTTCTGGATAGTTATCATAGTTAATAATTATTGACAGTTTATAACCGGACTTATATAAAGTATAAGTTACTAATTAACTTTGCATTATGGAAAAAAAATAAGGGAGATTCCATTTCCCCTCTTCCTTTGTACTATAGAAGAAAATGTAAAATAAGTATAGGAGAGGTATGTTTTAGAGGTGGGAGAGTTTGGGAGTAAGACAATTTGCATACTCAAATTCAGAATATTTGCTAAGAGGGCTGGGGCTGTGGCTCAGTGGTGGAGCATGGGTGAGGCACTGGATTCGATCCTTAGCACCACATAAAAAAACAACTAAAAAATAAAGATTAAATTCTTAAAAATAAAAAAAATATTTGCTAAGAAACTTGTGACTTACCTACATAACTGTTCACTAAAATGTTTAAATGCATATGTTTATAAATTAGGAAAATTTATTATAAACTAGATTAAACCTCTTATATTTTTTACTTCTAGGTCTTTTGGATTTGGCAACATCTTACTGTGAAAACAGACTGAAAAAACTTTGCCAGCACATTATCAAGCGAGGAATCACTGTGGAGAATGCCTTTACACTATTCTCTGCTGCAGTCAGATATGATGCAGAGGTAACAAAACAGTGAACAGCAAACCAGAATCACCTGTAGCTCCCTGTGCTCATTTACCCCCCTTCTCTCACGTGGCCCAAGGAACAAATGAGTAACTTCGCCTGTTTAGGGATTCCGTTAACCAACTGATCCAAATGAAATCTGGTCTTTCTCCTTTATTTTCTATTCATTGTTTCAAAATTGGTTGTTCCTCTACTTCCATTCTTAACTAAGATCAGAACCTAACTGACTGAGGTCCCAGCAGCTATGCAGCAGGTTGGAACATAAAGTGCTGCAGCCAACTGGACTGACAGGCAGCAAGCTTTAGCTTCTAGTCTTTCTCAGTGTCCACGTGTCTGTCTGTCAAGACCCACAGCTGTCTCCCCAACTCTACCCTTTCAGAAGCCAAGGATGCCATATAGTTTTTATCCATGTGTGCTCCAGAATTCTGTCATTGTCTGATTATTACTCACAAGTATTCATGTGTTAAGAACTTGCTGTGGACTCCTTTCTGTTTGTATTTGCACTGGATCGAGTTCCTAATCTGGGATTCTCTGATCTCTACAGTCTGAATTAGTGGGCTTTGGGGAGTCTTAAATTTTGTGTATATAAATGTGCATTTTCTTGAGATTGAGAAGCAGAGCATCAGATTGTAAGCTCTTCATGAGCAGGAGCTGTACCTTACTGTATTGCCTGGCCTGTGTTAGCCTTTGGATGGTAAATATTTGTTGAACCCCAGGAAACGGTATCTCCTAAAGGATGCAGTAAGAAGAAGGTTGGTTTTACAAATTTATAGAAAATAAAAGGTAGAGGGGATATTGGGTATGGTGACTCATGCCTATTGGCTCAGTGACTCGGGAGACCGAAGCAAAAGTATCTTAAGTTTGAGGCCATTATCAGTAACTTAGTAAAGTCCTGTTTCAAAAATAAAAAGGTCTGGGGATGTAGATCAGTGGTAAAGCACCTCTGGGATCCTCCCTAGTACCCCCCCCAACACCCTCCCCAAAACAGGAGGTAGAGGGATCTGAGATGTCTAGCTAAGATTGGTGTGTTAAAATGACACAATTAGCCTATTTTTATAGGTATTTTATCATTTTACAAGGCGGAATACCTGTAATGGAATTTATCGAAGATCCATGCTGTGGCCTTTGAGGTAATGGAGGACAAACTTCATAATATATCACTTAGGGATTGAAGTTGACCATTACGTCTTACATTTTCAAAATGTATCCTATTTTTGTTTGGGGTTATGTTTTGATTGTAAATATTTGATAAGGGCAAATGTAGCTGACTTTGCAGCTTGACAGTAGTAGATGGAAGACTAATCAAGATAAACTGTTTCTAGTAGAAAATGGAGGTAGCAGTTTTCTTCCCTACCTTCCTGTGACACCTTGAACCTCTGTATTAGAAATTCTGTTTCTTTAGATTCCTTTTCCATCCCATGATATAATTTTAAATTGGATCAATGCTTTTTCCTCTCCATTTGGCAATTAATTCCAGAATCTCCCCTGTGTGTGCCCACATTCCTCTTTGTTCAAAAGTTCCATACCCTGTAGTAGGACCTTGCTGTCTCACGCTGATCAGATCAACCTGGATGGAGACAAACATCTTGGAAATTTCCTCCCTTCAGTTAAAATCTACCCCAGAAGGTTTATAGGAAAAGCCTAATGCCACTTCTACTCATAGCGGCCGACTGTTTCCTTTACTAATTTTCATTTTTCTTATGTTAACTATAAACACATTTTGAAAACTGTTCCTTTAGAGAGACTACAAATAATACGTGATTCCCTGGAGCCTGTTGCAGTATGGGCATACTGCCAGCACTCAAAGTACACATTAAATGATTGAATTATATTTGAAACAGCTCACTGTGAAGAAGTGCTTTAAAAAATATCTGAAATCCCATAAGTGTTACATATTCAATGTAAAAAAGAAAAATTAGAGAATTGAGAAAAGATAAGAGATAAATGATTACTTCTTTCTATGATATATTTTTAAGCTTTTGATATGAGTATCATATTAATTATAATTAATTATAATTGGTTAATGTGCCTTTACTTTTTATTTCCTTAATACTATATAATAAGTCAACTATAGAGTACAGGAAAATCACACTTTATATATAGGTGTGTGTATATGTGTGTGTGCGTATATATATACATATTCATATATGTTTATATACATAAAGTTGATTGAAAGCTGCTAATGAGTCAGATTGGAAATTAACTTCAAGAACTAATTTTGACAACGCTAGGAAGATGGAGGCTACCTGCTTCTCATATTTCTTGTTTTCTATAAAAAGTGATTGTGGTTCTTCCATGTCCCCTTTGATGGGATAATTTTGAAGGAAATGTTCACAAAAATGTGTGGACTCAGTAGTTATAAGGATTTTTAAAAAATCAAGCTGGAGCCCTTGCATTATGAATGCATCATCAAACTTTCTCCGAGTTTTATGAAGGACTTGAGGAATGATTATTTAAGTATCCTCAAATACAGACCCAAATAAATATTGACATCAAGGGAGAAAATGGGAATAAAATATTAAGATAGTTCAGTACCATATCATAAAACTCTTGAAATGCTTAGTATTTATACTGATTCTTTTTAGGAAAACCTACATGTAGTTGAACGTGATGAGAAATAGTTGGCAAGTATTATTTATTTTACCAGAGCAGAGTACTCTCCAAAAAACCTTACTTGCTGAGCAACTTCTGTCTACAATTTTGTTTGGGTGGGAAGCAATAAGTATGGGTACAGGACTCTGTGACGGTGTTTTGGATCTGAGCCTTGGAAAGCTTAATACCAAAGTTAGACGGTTAGCATTATATCTTCTCTTAGAGGGCTCAATTAAGTTTTTCCAGATCTATAGGTCATGAAGTGTTTTTTTTGTCACAGGAGAAAAGCACCTTTTTCTCACATGATAGAACATTTATATACATTCCCTAAAATAAAACCTTTTATACTTGAAATGATATAAAGTGAACTATAGAATTATGGTTTGTGGGTTTTGTTCTGCAATCAGCAACAGCTTTTGGACAGAGTAGGTGATTCTGCTCCCTGCCCCCAATCTGGAGTATATCTGAAGGTGGCTATGACACGAGATATCCTGTCTTCACTCAGTCCAAGTTGGTCTTCTACACAACTATTAGTATTTGATTATTTTAGCTTTGGAATTTTAATGCTAGGTAAGTACTCTAAAAGTCTGCATTAGAATTTTTTAAATTGCGAATATTAAGATCATCAGTTCTCTGTTATTGAAGAAAATATGTGGAGAGAAAATACTTTTTTTCAGAGTGCATATAATGGAAATAATTTTAAACATTTAAAGATATGGAATGAAGCCAGGTAAGGTGGTGCACACCTGTAATCTCAGCATCTTGGGAGGTTGAGGCAGGAGGATCTGAGTTCAAAGCCAGCCTCAGCATAAAGTGAGGTGCTGAGCAACTCAGTGAGACCCTGTTTCTAAATAAAATATACAGTAGGCTGGGGATGTGCCTCAGTGGTTGAGTGCTCCTGGGTTTAATCCTCGGTAACAAAAAAAAATATGGAATGAATATATAATTAGAGTTTTTGATTTATTGTAATTGCTAATTACAATAGATCTGATACTTTTTTTTTTCAGTTGTAGATGGACACAATACCTTTATTTTATTTGTTTTTATGTGGTGCTGAGGATTGAACCCAGTGCCTTGCACATGCTAAGCAAGTGCCTTACCACTGAGATACGGCCTCAGCCCTGATACTTTTTTTGATTTGCTTTAAAACTACTTTATAATAATTCACCCAGAATGTCACAAGATTTAGTTTCTGATAACAGGAATATTATATGACACTTCTCCATTTTACATTCTTTCCACTTCCCTATTCCATTTTCTTTTATGATGAATTTTTATCATTATTGGCTAAATAATCCATAATCTATTTTATTCTCTCTTGAACTTTTAAAAACTCTTTTGGTCAAATGATTCTTTGTTGGGATTGCTTTATATAACAGCCCACCAGTTATAGTTATGTTATTACTTGGCAAAGAGTTATACTTTCTTGTTTAGTTGCAGAATACGATGAACAGATCATGCAGGTTTTTATGATATTGAAGTGTAGCCTTGCCAAGCATGATGGCACATGCTTATAATCCCAGTAGCTTGGGAGGTTGAGGGGTTTGCAAGTTCAAACTCAGCCTCAGCAACTTAGCAAGGCCCCTCCCTAAGCAACTTCACAGGACCCTGTCTCAAAATAAAGGGCTGGGGATATAGCTCAGTGGTTAAGTACCCTGGGTTCACTCCTTGGTAACACCCCTCCACTCCCCAATAAAAAAGTTGTAGTCTCATCAGGATGTTTATCTAAGTGACCTCCCAAAGGTTAACTGACTCAGGCCTTGGTTGGTAAGTTAGTGTGGTAACTATGCCACTCTCTGAGGCAAATGAGCTTGCAAGCTCAGATCTCTTATCTCCTAATGCATTCATATATGTGCCTTAGCCAAAGTTCAGTTATTTTATTAAATTAGATTTATATTGTTTTCAGTATTCTGTAATTTGACTTTTAATATTTGAAACTGCTAAACATTTATTAATATCAAGATATATCACTAGTTCAAACTAATTGGTGGGGAAGGGAAGGCATTTTTTTTGGTATTGGGGATTGAACTCAGGGGCACTCGACCACTGAGCCACATCCCCAGCCCTTTTTTGTATTTAGAGACAGGCCTCTTCTTGTTTTTATTTTTGTTGTATGTATCCAGGATTTAGAAGAATTCTTGCTTAGCGCCTTGTCATTGCTGAGGCTGGCTTTGAACTCTTGATCCTCCTGCCTCAGCCTGCTGAGTCGCTGGAATTACAGGTGCGTGCCACTGCGCCTGGCAGGGAAGGCAATTTGATAGAAGCATTGTCATAAACGTATGAAGTGAATTATAATTAGCACCATTTATATACCTGTAATGTAGTATATTAAAAAAGTCCTTATGTTCAAGGCAGTTTTTGCACTATTAAAAAGTTACCCCACTTTTCATGTATTCTGAAAAGATCTTAAATTCCAAGTAGTAGACTTACAAATAATAAGGTATGATGCTAGAATTTAGTGTATTTTCTTTTCCTGTGAATTTGAAGTTATGCTATTAAAGTATAATATTTAAAGATTTTTATCTGATATATGAAGAACTTTCTGTGCTCATGACTGGCTACTTCTTCCCAAGCTATGTGTAAGTTAGTTCACTACTTTTGACTACTAAATAAGATAGATTTAAAATATGACTTTTATGTACTCGTGGAAAATAATTTAGCCTGTTTTTTAATCACTGGGTTGTAATGCTGAGAGCAGTGCTCATCCTTGAATAATCATCTGAGAAGGAATATTTTTGTTGTTTTGCATTTTAGTTTTTTAAAATTTTTTTTAGTTGTAGATGGACACCTTAACTTTATTTATTTTTATGTGTTGCTGAGGATTGAACCCAGTGCCTCAAACATGCAAGGTTAGCACTCTACCACTGAGCTACAACCCCAGCCCACATTTTAGTTTATTATAATACAAATTCAGTTGTAGTTCACTGAGAGTCTCTAAGAGACACAGATCCAAAGCCAGGCATCATGGTACATGTCTGTAATTCCAGCAACTTGGGAGACTGAGGCAGGGGGATCACGAGTTCAAGGCTAACCTGGTCAACTTTTTTGTCTCAAAAAATTAAAAAGGTCTAAGGATGTGGCTCAGTGGTAGAGCAACCCACTGAGTTCAATTGCCTGTACAAAAAAAAAAAAGGCTCCAGAGATTGTACTGTCAAGTATGCTTTTTTCTGGGGGGTGGGGTAGTACTAGGGATTGAACTCAGGGAGCACTCAACCACTGAGCCACATCCCCAGCCCTGGCATCTCACTGATTTGCTTAGTGCCTTGCTTTTCCTGAAGTCCCCAGCCCTTTTGTATTTTGTTTAAAGACTGGTTTTCACTGAGTTGCCTAGGGCCTTGCTAAGTTGCTAAGGCAGGCTTTGAACTTGTGGTTCTCCTGGCTCACATCCCATAACCGCTGGGATTATAGGCGTGTACTACCATGCCCAGTTCAAATATACTTGGAATTATCTGAAAAATAAAACTTAGGCAGCCAGCTGGCTAATAACACATTTGCTGTGGTTTATGTTTTAATTCTGAGCTTAGGGCGTTTTGGTCAGGGACAGAGGACCCTTAACATAGGAAATAGTTGTTAGCAGCGGTCTACACTGAGAGCAAAAAAAGATCCTTGTTTGTGTGGGAACTAAAATTCCCTCCTAATGGTAGCTGGAAATATAAAGTCCAGATCCTGCAGTTCAAATGCAAAGTTCCTGGTTTGGTTGAATTTGAGTTATCGACTTTCAGTATACAACTAACTAGGGGCCAAGTTATAAAAATTAAGCTCTTCTAGGGGCTGGGGCTGTGGTTCTGGGGGCTGAGGTTGTAGAGCACTCACCTAGCATGGGTGAGGCACTGAGTTCGATCTTTAGCACCACATAAAGATAAATAAATAAAGGTATTGTGTCTATCTAAAACTAAAACATTAAAATAAAAAGCTGTTTCTACTAAGAGGTTTTAGTGTGATTTGCTTTACTATGTATATCTAGTTTCTTATATCCATTCCAGGTGCCTAATTTAGTAAGTTTTTGTTCCAACATTTGAAGGAATAAACAATATTAAGAGTTTTGTGGGGTGTGAAAGGATGTGTAAGACAGAAATCAAGGTTTTAATCGTTCTGGTTTCCCACTTGTATATATTACTTTTTTCTGAATGTTGGTAGGTGGGTGACTTCCCAGTTGTCTGCCTGAAAAATCCAATTTATTTAAATATATTTCTCTGGTGTTGACTTCCTGGTAAGTGTGTGGTGTGGAAATTACATTTCTTTGTGGCTTTCAAAATGAAGTGATTTTTATTAGAGTGCAAAAGTCAATTGGAAGTTTTGGAGATTTTTAATATATTACTTTAGGTTAACCATAAATCTTTATCTATTTTCTCTTTCTTAAAATTTAGTCTCCTTAAACTAACCTCACATCTTAATTCTTTTCTCTGATTTCTTGAACATAAGAAAAGATGAACTAAGGTGGTTTTTGGCTTTGTACTACACTGTCTTGAGTGTAACTGGACTATGGTAACCAGGGAAGACTGCTGCTCTTCCCCCACCCCAGTGTGTGGGTGGGTGAGTGGGTGACAGATCCACACTGGAGTCTGGGGAATCATCAAGGGATTTGGCCTCTCCATCAGTGTTTTGGGGGAGGGTGAGCAAGCTGGGATGAGGGGTTTGTAGAGAAGAAATTAAAGTTAATAAACAAAGGCCTCTTCTTGTTTTTATTTTTGTTGTATGTGTCCAGGATTTAGAAGAATTCTGCTTTAAGTTTTGCATCAATCATTTGACAGAAGTTACACAGACGGCAGCATTTTGGCAAATGGATGGTCCTCTGCTAAAGGAATTCATTGCTAAAGCCAGTAAATGTGGAGCCTTTAAGAACTGAAGCCCAAGGCTGCTGGGGTTTGTGTGAGTGCTTTGGGGGCACTGTTGGTGATGTGTCCAGCTTGTGCTCTACGGGTGATGTGATTCTGCAGGTAAAACCCACCAGGTTGTTTTTATCACATCTTGAGACAGTTCTCTGTAGGAATACATGAAGGATATTTGGCTTTTCCTGAGCCCATTTTAAACAACTTGTTTCCAGATATGTATATTTTAAATGTGACCTTTCTTATATTGGGGCTAGAACATTGTGAAAGGATGAAAGTTTAGCTTAAAGGAACTTTGAAAAAGGAAGTTGTTGAGAACTCTCTTGGGTCATATAGTACAACCCCTTAATATCAGGAGCTGTGATTGTGAAAAGAACACAGAGGCTCATCAGGAATTAACAGTGCTGACTAGCAGGGCTGGGGGCCGGGTAGGCGAAGTGCTGCTGTTAGTTGCCGGTCAGCACCTTACTGTAAAGGACGGTTAGAATTGTGTGAAAGTATGGTTGGTGTGTATTCACTATTGATGGCTTTTTAAACTTCAAGATATATCAAAAGAATATTCCATTTAACTTATTTAATGTTGTTAAATCTACTGAAGTAATTGAGTAAATTTCTAGGTTAACCAGGAGCAGTAATATAGAATTATCCATGAAAAATTAATAATGAAAGAATCTTTGTTTGGATAAGGGTGAATGTTTTATTAATTAGAGTCTCTACTACTTATCTCATGGTGTGTCACTATAGTAAGGATGAATTTGAAAAATGGGATTTAAATCACCCCTTCACCTTTTCCCCTATAAATGCTCACTCATAAGAAGAAAAAATGACACATATTAATATACTCTTGCCTTCCTGCTAGAGCTGCTAAATCATCAGATCTGCTATGATGACTTGAAGAAGTGGTCTTAAAACCACCTTTCTTATAAGGAGTAATGGAATTTGCTTCAT